AACGAAAGATGACTGACAAAAATATCGTGTAGTCTGAACCCGGCATTAGTCCTGCTAAACTCGAATTTTGCATGACCGCAAAATCAAATTTGTGCCAAAGAAAGCCAAGAAGCTGATTCAGCAAATATATGCAGGCTAAATATATATACAATGGAATTTGAAAGTCTGAAACCACTGGCTTTTTATTTAGACATGGAAATTTTGAAATATTTTAAACAAGTGTAAATAAGAAATATTTAAGAAAGAGTCAGTGCTATTTCTAGGTGATTATTCAAATGTAAGTAAATTAGTGATGTTGATCATATGAATTTATTATTTTTTTGGTAAAATGTCTTAAATCATGCTGGATTATATGGATCATCAGCTCATCTTTTGATGTACATTGTTAAAAAAAGGTCTTTAAAAGGTCTTAATTTGCCATTCCACACATGAAGGCCTTAAAAAGGTCTTAAATCAGAGCAGAAAGTCTTGAATTCATAAAGTCACCCAAGTGCAAATGCAAAAAAATGAATGTCTTCCTCAATATTTTTGTTTTGTTTTCCGATGCAAATATCTAAACATCCTTAAATCAAGATACATTTACTGGAGATGCAAACTGAAGAAATTATGCCTTGTTTTCTGAGAAATTGAATAAAATTAAGTTTAAAACAATAACAAATATCTGTCAATGGGGAATGAAAACTTGTTTGCCCTTTGAATTAGGTTGATTTTTCTGAGGCAATTGGCAGATTTGTACTTGTTTTAATCTTGATCTCACTCTGTTGGAAGTTGTATTTTCAAACTTTGAAGCATTGCTATTATAAGACATTTACTTTTAGAGACATACACCATACAGTTTCTTTACTTGGTCTTAAATTTACCTTCATAAAACCTGAACAAACCCTGTAAAGAAAGTGTTGTGTTAAATTAGAAAAGATGCAAAACAGAAGCATTTTTAGTAGTGCTCTTACCTCAGTTTTATTTATCATTATAATTTAAAATATGTATTTGTAAAGTATTGTTCTCTAAATCAGAAATCTCTATATTATTCCACCTTTTCATCGCTGAGATGGTCTCAAGCTCGTGGTATGAGGGGGGCCATTCATTATCGGAGCTGTTTGTCTGGATTCCAGCTCTATAATCCTCCTCTTTAAATACACTTACATCAACCATTGGCTCCGTCCCTCGTACACAATCCTCTGCCTATGAATTCTGTATTTTCATGTATATTTCCATCAGCGACTGCTTCAAACGGCGATATATCAGAGGCGCTGGGTTGGCTGGCTATGATTTAAAGATGGTTTGTGGCCACTGATGGTTTGTTGACTGGGTTTCCACGTTACAGAAGTCGGGTCTCTTCGTGTTATGGGACTATTTATTGTTTCCCACTTTTAATGTTATGTTTGGCTGACTGAGACTCCATGGTTAAGTGTTTGATTATTTTCTAAGAAGCTCCCTCCAAGTTTGTATGAGACATCAATGCCCCTCTTTGTCATGTAGAGAAGCACATTGGATACGGTGTGTGGCGCAGGAGATGTCGTCTTTGGTGTCCTGTCTAGCAGATTATGGGGTTTTGATTAAATTTAAATGACCTAATTTCATTAGACTTCAAATGCAAATGCATTTTTGTAGTATTAAGATAATTCCCTATCATGCATTCTTTTAAAGAGCCAGACAATGCTTTGTAAGTAATGTTCAGATTGCATGGAAATGCAATATAGCATCATTTAACACAACCTGATGATCATGTTCTCCAGCATGATTTGAGATGTTTTTAAGCTTAACTAGAGTCACATGTTCAGATTTACTCCAATTTGTCACCTAGAAATAGTACAGAATTTAAAATATTTATTTTTCATTGTACACCATAATGTTTTGCAAAGTTCAAAATCCTAAAACATAAACAAAATATCAGGACTTTTTGAGGTAAAGAAGCGAACACAACTATGATTTGTTCTCCTCTGGTTTCTCTGTTTGCTTTGAGCAGCTCCAGCAGAAATGAACTTCTGCATCCGTGTGTCTCATATCACATTACAACCTCGTCCTCTGAGGAATCAAAGCTCATTTTTCTTACCATTCACTCTGTAATCTGTCTAATTATGTTTCCTTTTCTTGTTCTGTTGTTCATGTTTTTTTTTTTGACGCACTGTCCTTTATCATTGATTTTGGTCTCTTGAAGCTGTCCGGTCGTGAACGGGTAATTATAGATTTTGAGACAGATTATCACACACATTACGTTAGTGACAAACTCACGTTAAGGAAATGCACATGGTCTGAGAGATGCAGTGATTTGGATCTAACGTGTCGCACATGGCGTAAATTATTTCAAGCCTTCTGCTGCCAATACGACGTTATAAAAACGTAGATGCCCTTGATGTTGAAGCCAAGATAAATGCAAACTTTTTTCCTTCACAAATTAAGTTTTGATGATATAAAACAATGCAACTAAGAAGCAAAGAGCATACATATCTCATTTCATTTGTCTCTCAATGCATACTATTAGATCGACTGATTCCTTTAAATTTTTTACTATAAAATAATTGGGGATTTAAATTTCCCATTTTAAAAAACAAGCACTCCGCCTGGCTATAGATATTGCATTTCATTAACATTTAACTTGTTTTTTTTTTGATAAGCTGGACGTCTCTGACTGCTTGCTCACTGAGGTTTGGTTACCCAGGTCGCGTTTCGTCCATTAATGTTGTTTTTCTAGCGTAAACGAGAGCTGTGACTATCAATTAGCTGAATGAAGCTGCTCAATCCAGGCCAGGATATCAGCACTGGCTCTAAATGAGAAGCACATGTCACCTCTGAGCCCAACAACACGCTGCTAATTGATTAGTGACGCTCTACGAAATTTGCCAAGAGCTTGTTTAACATCTGTAAGTGTTGCATGTGACGGCCGTTTGTCACCTGAAGGAGTCTGAGTGTCATTAATAATGTTTGTGTTTGTGTAAATGGGGAAATGGGACAAGATGTTTGTGCTGCTGCAATGCGCTCTCATATTTCAGGCTCACGTTCGGAGCTGCGTTGAGTTTTGACAGGTAATGTGAATCTAAATAACCACTGTAGGATGCATTTCAGCATTCTAGTCCTACTTTAAGTTAAGGGTTTATTCTCATCCTGAACCCTGTTAACCCCATTTAACTATTAACCCCATTCCAATCCCAATATAATGTGCAATTATGAATTATTAACTTATAGGGAATCAAGAAATTTGATTAGTAGGTTAAGTTTTTAAGTACCTCAAAATTTTATAAACCCATTACTGCAGTAAAAAAGCTCCAGTCAATTGTCATTTTATTTCTTTTTGCATGTTTGAAAATGCCTAAACTAAGATGAACGCAAATAAAGAGAAAGTGTTTTTTAAAAATGTAAGTGCTTTTTAGCTTATAGAGAATAAAGAAATGAAATGATTTTTGATGCTAAAACAAAAGCATGTGATAGAGGACCTCAAAAACCTTTATAGACCCCTTATTCAGGGTATTTTGTTAAAAATTGGCATTTTATTTCCTTTTGCATGCTTGAAAAAGCCTTGATTGTTCTGAAAACAAATAAATAGGAAAATTGTGTTTGCATGTTTGTTTAATTGTTGTTGTTTTTTTTTACCTATAGATATTGAATGGGTTTTCAATTTTGATGCTAAAACAACAGTATGTTATATTGGACGTCAACAACTTTTATAGACCCCTTCATTTTGTTAAAAATCTCTGTTCAATTGGCATTTTCTTTTCTTTTGCATGTTTCAAAAAGCCTAAACTTAAGCTGAAAACAAAAAATTAAAGAGTTTGCATGTTGAAGTGCTTTTTAATTTATTGGGAATCAATAAATGAAATGTTTTTTCTGTTTTAATGCTAGAACAACAGGATGTTATGTCGGACCTCAACAATTTTTATAGTCCCCTTCTGCAGTGCATTTTGTTAAAAATCTCCTTTCATTTGGCATTTTATTTCCTTTTGCATATTTGAAAAAAGCCAAGACTAAGCTGAACGCAAATAAAAAGGAAAATTAAAGGGTTTGCATGTTTAAGTGCTTTTTATCTTTATAGGGAATCAAGAAATTAAATGCCATCAATTTTGATGCTAGAACAACAGCTGTCTAGTGCCAGTTTGTGCTTTAAATCAATGCAAGACACTTGAAATGGATGTTTCCTGATTTTAAAGGAACGCGCCTCTGCGGCCTCGTGTTTTAGACGCCACTTCGAACGCCTTGATGTGCATCGACAGTGATGACAAAACCATGTAGCTCACGCCGTCTGGCTCCGACTCAATATCCTGCCTCCATACGTTTGTCTAGAAGGGCCTCCGATTACGTCGGCATGAGAAACTTAATGAGGAAAATACTGTAAGTACAATCTGTGATCGCTCTGTCAACAGCGTTTTGTATTTGTATTTCCATACGTGCAGTGTGATAAGATGGAGATTTGTTTGACTTTTACATGTTAGTATATTTTGAATAGCTGAGGTATTCAAATAGGTTTTGCATAGATTGTGTTTTACATGTGGCTTTTTTGTGTGCTGTATAATGCTGGACTCACTCCCGGTTGTCAGACCTAAAGACTTTGTTAAACAGCTCAGTTTTGTTTCCTTTTGCATGTTTGAAAAAGCTTAAACTAAGCTGAACGCAAATAACAAGCTTGCATGTTTGTTTAAGCGCTTTTCATTCATAAGAATAAATAAAAGCTCCCTCGTTAACCATTTATCAATTAGAATTAACCACTGCAAGTCCTGCACTATTGCAAGTCTTCCACATCTTGTTCTAATGTAGCTCTGTAAATTGAAGCAGAGTGAATGTTTATACATCCAGAAGGGTTTTTCTCTGTCGTCCCACATCTGCGTTTTTAACTTACACAAACAAGTCAGCATCTCGCACGCACGCACGCACGCACGCACGCACGCACGTGAACCCAAACACGCCGACTTTTACCGTGCGCGTGCGCCGTCGCTTATCGACCTGCTCGACTTCTGTGTGACCCGCCGCTGAACCACAGTGAAATGAAAATAATTTTTCACAGCACTCACCCCAGAAAAAGTTCTGCTGACACGGAGTCACCGAGCTGAAAAGACTGTTAGACGCCATAGCCGCACGTGGATCTCCTCGGTTCTCTCCTCCTCTGGAGGTCGTGGTGACCCTTGAAGTCCTAAACTGGGAGCACAAATCATATCAAGGCATCAGAACGCAAGCGGCGGCAAACAAACAAAAGCAGCCGGCGCACGGCCGCATGCTTCCCAGAGCGTTGAGGCACAGATATCGACGGCATATACGAGTGTGGTTAGAGCGTACTTACTGACTTGTTGGGTCTCTGTGACTGGGGTTGACCCACTCTGATTAACCATTTACGCCCCAGTGGCTCCCTCCTGTCGTCCTGGGGAAATCTCGTGCACCGCACTTGTGGTTCTGTGGTTGTTTGTGAGGGGAATGAGACATTCTCGCAATCCAAAAACGTGTAAGCTTTAAAACACACTTTTTTTCCTCTCCTGATGGGCTGTTACTGGAGAGGCTGGGTCATGTGTTCGGTGACATCAGAGCAGCCGAGAGGGTTCAGCCCTCTTGTCAGTGGTCCTGCGTTTCCTACTCACATCCAGCGGGATGCAACCTCAGCTCCTGTCAGTCTGAAGGGAAGGGGCTGGGATTTTCGGCAGCTCCGTTTCTGTCCTTCTCAGCCTCTCCGTGTCCCGGTCTCATTCCTGCGCTGGTTAACTCTGCCGTTTAGGCTCCAGGTGTGTCTCCGCGTAAGTTGCATAATCGGCTCTTTGAGAAATGACAGTCGCTGCGTTGGCTCTTGGATCACGTCTGGCTCTCGACGAGCTTAACGAGCGCATTAGCGGCTGTGATTCATCTGTCTGTTTTGCGCGCCTCACAGGTTTGGAGTTTGGCACGCGGTCAGAGCGCACCTCAGGTGTCTGTGAAAGCACGAAAAAACATGTGCTTCTGCAGCGCCCTCTCTCTCTCCTGTTTCAGGGTCATGTTAGGTGCTGTGCTGAATTTTGCGTGTGTTCATGTGACTTTAAAATCAAAATTACACTTCCTAGGATTTAGACCAACACTTAAGTTAAAGGAGGGGCTGAGCCACAGAGCAGGGTATCAGTTGAGAGTGAACTCTTTTGGCTTGGAGTAAGTAGGCACCTTAGAACAGCAACTTAGAACAACCTAGCAACATTACAACTGCAACTTAGAGCAGCCTAGCAACCTTAGAACAGCAACTTAGAACAGAACAGCCTAACATCATTACAACAGCAACTCAGAACAGCCTAGCAACCACTCAGAACAGACATCCTGGCAACATTAGGGCAGCTTATCAACCATTACATACATAATTGTCTATATTATATATTGTGTTTTTGGTATTTTGTACATTGTCTATTTTGTATATTTGTATATTATTCTTTTTATTATCTATGTCTTGTCTTGTCACTGTCATTCTGTTGCACTGTGAAGCTTCTGTCACTAAAACAAATTCCTCGTATGTGTAAACATACCTGGCAATAAAGCTCATTCTGATTCTGATTCTGATTCAGGACTGATTAGGAACCACTCAGAACAGCCTAGCAACCACTCAGAACAGCCTAGAAACTATCCAGGACAAGATACATCATAGTAGCCATTAGGGCTGCACGATAAATCGCATGCGATATTTAATGCGCATCTTGTCAGAAAGCCAGATCGGA